ATATTATATATAAAGCATCAATTAATTTAACATGGTCAAACTCCTAAATAAAATAAAATTCAATTTAGGGTTAAAGTTTAATATTTAAGTTAAAATCAAATTTTAACGAAAATATAAAAGTCGTCAATTTTTAAATAAAATTTTAAACGGGTCAATATTGAAATTTTAGGTCAAACCCATTTGAAAATCAAGTTTAAAACCATTTTAATATTTAAATTCAAAAATCTGTTTTTAAAAATTACAACTTGACCCAAATTTAAATTAATAGAAAGTCCTTCAATTAACGTAATTGCATGACGGTCCTTCATTTACAAAATTGCAAAAAGACCCTTTTTTCATAATTGCAAATTTGGCCCTTAGAGATAAAATTGCAGACAGAGGCTTGCAATTTCATAAATTGCAACACAAGCCCCCATCCCCAATCCTTCCACCCGTTACTGAAATCCTAAAATGGAAGACACCCCTTATCTCCTTGGTGGTGTCGGCTGCGGTGGGAACTATCGGAGTCAAACGGCAGTGCCCCGTCGCCCACGGCAGCTCGAACGAGCTGCTGCTGGAGCTGAGCGCAACAGCACTATTTCAAGCAGCAGCGATGGCGAACGTCGCAGCAGTAGTAGCGACAGTCGCTACTGCTTATCCCCCCGTGGCAGTGCGCAGCCTGCTGCCTCGAGTTGCAGCAGGTTTTGTCGCCACAACAGACGGCGGCGGTTGCTTTTCTAGATCCAAAGTTTTTTTTTGACAAACAATTATTTTCTTTTCCAAAACAGATGTTTGAAGATGAAAACTAATTTCCTATATTGCTAGATTCAAGAAAACATATAACCAATCAACTTTTGATTGTTCTAGATATAAAACAATTTCTAACATATACAAAGTAGGCTCTAATACCACTGTTGGAAATTTACTTAATATGCTCAGCGGAAAATAAATTATTTTTCAATTCCCACCACGAATCTGCTTTGTGTTTAGAATACTACATTTAATGAATTTTGCAAACTCGTTTACTGATTCTCAAACTCGAATAATCAAAATCTTCAATTCAAGTTGTCCAATTGTCCAGCCTCCAACAATGATCCACACGGAGAACAAGAATGACGATTAGGGTTTTCTTTACTTATGCTAGCAAGAATAATTAATTCTGGCCTATTAATAATTAATTCGGGCCTATTAATTATTTCATACAGTTTTCAAACCCTAACAGCCTACTAATATAAGTCCAAGCGAGCTTGGTCCGTCTATTAAACTTAACCCGGTCTTATATTTAATTAATTAA